TTATATTTATAATTAAACATTAAAAATATTAGATTGGGTAATAAATAATATTTATTCATGTAATAAAATCAATTATTTAATATTTAAAGACACGACTTATGCTAATATGGAATTAAGATTTAAAGACATTGATCCTCCAAAGGTTTTAAAAATAAAAAAATCTCCTTGTTATTATCGAACCATTACTAGTACAAGTTTATAGATTTTTACAGAATTACTCCTTATTGTTTATTTTAAAACTTAAAAATAGAGAAATTTCAGTCATTTCAAAAATATTTGAGAAATTTTATAATTTAATCAAAGCTCGTAGATTAATATATTAACTCTAAAATTAAGTAAAGTTTTTATATAAAATAAAATTAAAAATCATTTACAACTTGTGTTACTGTGTACCGAAGAATTATATCTTCATTAATTAATAATTTTATCGTATTTGCATTAAAAAATAGCTATATTTATAAGAGGTTCGGAAAAATATAACCATTTTACTAAATCTAATTTCTAAAATGCCAAGTTTTTATTTAATGGGCAAATATAACCATAAAATCATATGATTTATCATTATACCTTTAATAAACAATAAATTATTTGTTCTCTAATATATAACTTTGGACTATGTTAGATCATATTAGAATAAATTGTCTTAGCATTTGTTATACCATTTTAATAGTGTAATTAAAGTATGTCACACTTAATAATCTAGTATCCTGTTTATTTTTGTTCATATTTGTATGAGTAAAAAATGGTGTTAAGCTTGACGAGACCCAATAATAAAGTAAACATATTACAGCCCAGTGCCTTACCCTAATTTTGGTTGGATTTACGCTTAAATTCATCTTGTGAACTGACCACTCTTTGAATTGAGCTATCCTACAAGTTAAATTGAATCTGGTTCTAGTCTATTAGCCTACAACAGTCTCAAAATAGGAATTAAATCCTATTTACTTTCCACTTCAGTTAAGATCTAGAATCTTACTTGAAGTGGTAAGCCTAAGCTGGTAAAAGCGGGTGATTGGAACTAATCTACCAAATAGGACTCGGAGTCCTACTAGGACTCCAACCTCCTATGTTCACTATATAAATAGGGACAAACCCCATTGAGAAATAACCCACGACTCTTAAAGCTCTCAAAGTTCTTGCTCCCAAGAACCACTGCCTCTCTCGCCGTAAAGCTTAGTTTCGATTAACTTTATCACTCTCAACCACCGCAAAGCTATGCTCCAACCACTTTGTGTTAGTACAATTAAACAACCCCCACAATAAACGTTTATAAATTAACAAAAATACCCTCACTTACCCAACTATTGTCGATAAACGGCCACCACCACCAGATGTTGGTCAAAAGCCACTAGAATGGCACATGACTGACTGGAACTAGCTGATCGTGCATTGATCTGGTCTTTTCTATAACAGCTATTGTGAGGCGCTTGCGTTGCTCGGTTGATAGACCATCATAACCTGGCAAACCAACTAAAGAATCCTTAATTTCATCAAGCATAATGATTCAAGTACTTCAATTAAGGATGAATACGCAAACAGTCAAATTCAAATCCTTCACAAATTAAACAGTCTTGAAAATATTGAAAGGGAGTTCATACGAAGAGATATTCTCATTTGAAGAGGACAAGGAACACATTAGAGCACTCACAAAATTAAAAGATTTAGAATTGCGAGGACTTTTAAATTTAAAGTACATTTGTTAACAAGACTCCCGATTGAACTCAATTCTACAATAGAATAGTAATAATAGTATATCTTGTTTGGATGGCTAGAAAGTTTTTGCTGGTACCAGGAAAAATATTGATATGTGGAGAAGAAATATGGTTTAAATGAAATAAATAAAGGGAATGTTTTCCATGAATTATTTTGTAAAAATATAAGTGTTTGGTGAGAAATGGCCCAATAGAGTGTTGCTTGTAAGTTCTGTCCAAGTAGTTGATAAATTAAGTTGGCCACGCAACTAAGTGTCTTATGAAAAATCAAATTAAAAAATTAGAAACAGATTTATAATTAAAATAATAATTATTAAATATTATTCAAACAGAGTCTGAATAAGAATCTAGTTATAATACAAATAATGAACATATAATTTATCAAATTTTGGGAAAACTCTACTGAAACAATGAGCGAGTCTTCACAAGATTCTGATGATTGTGATTGCATAAGATTCTGATGATTGTGATTGCATAAGGTCTTGCTACTGTGTTCAAATTCAACTGTAGATTTCACGGTCTACAATATTATTTTTCAACAAGGACAATTGTGTTAACCCACATAAATTTACCGATATTTTATTTTTAATTAAAACCTTGATACTTCCAGAATTAAAATTAATTAATTAATCGATTAATTAAAATCATAGCCATAAAACTAAAAATTAAATTAAATGGGAAATTAATGGCAGTATATATTAATTCATACAAATTTAATAATCAAGAATCAAGATGACCAAATATTATACAGATAGACCACACAAAACTTTAAGCTCTCCCATGTGCTCTCCAGTTTCTTACTCTTCTTGAGATCCTGCAAGGCTGCAACTGCCACTTATTTATTTTATTAATAAATATTAATTAATTAATTAAATGTTTATCTTTTTCTCTTTACAGAAATTTTGATTAAAAGTATTAATTAAAGTTGATTTTGTATCAATTACGATACTTATTTCCATCTTTCCATTGTAGTACTTATTAAGTATCGGTCTTGGTTTATGTTTAACCTTAGACGGAATTTATCACTCCGATTTGGGTTACTTGCCTAAACAACTTAAATTCTAGACATCGACTTATGATGCAACAGGGTTTGGATGCAACGGGCATCTCTGATGCCCCTTTCCAGGGTTTTTGAACCAGGTTCGCCATTAAAGATGCTTTTCCAAACTACAATTTAAAATACCCACTTCAAAATCAATTTAACCAACCAAATATTAAAGTTGTCACGTATAAAAAATCGAAATTATATTCTAGATAACACAATGCACCGAAAGAAATGAAGGAATCCAATTCGAGAGACATGAATATTTAATGAAACGACAATCTCTTATATGTCGGTTATATTGGAATCTTCTTAGATTTAATCAATATTCCAATAATAGTGTGAAAATCTAAATAGTAAAACTTTATTATTAATTAATTAATAATAATAATAATAATAATAATAATAAACCTTGATTATAGTAAACTCAGTATAACACGTAATTGTATTAATCATCCCCCTTATTTTGAATATTAGTAGTCGTTTTCTTGATAATAATTATCATCTCGTTTAAATATCTGAGGGTAGTTGTACTTTTTTGCTCCACGTGTGAGCGCCAAAAAACCTAATCTTCCCTCATTTTTAGTATGATTTCAAAGCACCTCATTTTGTTTGAAAATTATCACTGATCTCCCTTTTAATTGACCATTTTCGTAGGCATGGCAATGGGGTGGGCATCTCATTCACCGTCCCCATACCTACCCTCAAAATCACTCCCCACGCCCATCCCATCCCTGTTGCAGGGATGACAAGAATTCTCCATCCCCGTCCCATAGAGAATGTTGGAGGCTCATCCCCACCCTGTTAATTTTAACTTTGGTTAAAGTTTGGCTAAATCAGAGAGATCAAATTGGCGTTAGCAAACGACAATATGAAGTCGGCTAAATGCGAATGGCAATGGTGACAGGTTTAAGACTTAAGAGTTAGGATTTGTTCTTGTTCAATTGTTTAGGTTGAGAGAAATTGGGAAAATATGAGATTTATATAAGTAGGATAATTGTGTAATTAGGTAAAATATATAGGGGTATATATATATATATATATATTAGGGGTGCGAGGGCGGAGGACTGGGATAAAAACTCCTCCCTTCCCTGCCTCTATCCCCGAAAAAACCAGGGAATCCTCGTCCCATATGAGACGGGTCAGGACAAAGCCTCGGAATTTCTAGACCCATTGCCATGCCTACATTTTCGAGAGCCAGGTCGAGGAATGACTCCCTCGTCCTTGCCTATGTATTGGATTATTATTTAAAATGCATTGGACTAACTATAGGGCGTTGTAATACAGATTGAGAAGGAAAAAAAAATTATTTTTGATCTTTGTTTTTTACAAACCAACATGATTTAAATTAAAAAGGCACACTCAATTTATATATTAAAAGCTAATTTTATCTAATTTTAATGTATACATAATTATTCAAGTTATACGTATAAAACATTAAATTATTGATTGAAAACACGGACGCACTCCCAATTTTTGCAAGTTCCCAATTTTTGCAAGTACTCAATCTTATCGAGTTTTTTTTTTTTTTTTTTAACCATCTCTAACTATAAAAGGTATATGCAACCAAACCATATAATTAATAATTACTCTTTATTATAGTAAATAATATTAAATTCACATAACTTCAAAGAAAATATATTTTAAGAACTAAATACAAAAAGTAAAAAATTTCATATAAAAAGATTATTATCCATTAGGTATTAGAGCATGTAGTTGAGGGGGTAAGTGATAGATTTGCAAAAGAATAATACTACACCAGCAATCCTCTTTAAAAAATTTTATACAACAATCCTGATGTGACAGATCATAATTGGTTAGTTTAAAACGAGTTCTACATAGATCCCAATAATTAATTACAAATTAACAAATTGAGAGCTGTAACATAAAGATTGTGAAAAAAAGTTTATAAGAAATGATTGTTGAAATAACAAATTGCGAACTATCACATCAGGATTGTAAGAGAAAATTCATGAGAAATGATTGTTGAATTACTATTACTCTTGCAAAATAATAAAATATTAGTGAAATGAATTAGCATAATATTAGTGGACTTTGGAAGAATTATCCCGAATAAAAGTACAGATGCTATCTCGCATAAGAGGTAAAGGAATAAAATAAAGAAAAAGAAAAATGGAATAACTTTTTTTAATTAATTAAATTTAAATTTTCAATATTCCAGAAAATTAGTAACGAAACCAAACTAAACTTTGCTTTGCTTCGCTTGGCTTCGCTTGGCTTCCTCACCCTGTATCATTCTCATTCCCTCTCTCTCTTTTCGGCGCTCTCCGTGTTTCGGCGTCCGATTTCTCGCCGTCTCATTCTCTCCGAAACTCTAACTCAGGTTTCTCTTTCTCTCTTTAACTAACTTCATATTTCTATCTCATATTTATATTTATTTTTCTTCTCTTTATTTTCTGTTGTTTGTTTATTTGTTTACGTTGTTGTTGTTGTTGCTTCGATATCGATCTTTTAATAAACTGAGTTCCGATTGAGATTTGAGTTTAAGCAACTTTTGAATTCAGTTTAGGTTTGAATTTTTGAGTTTTTGAGATTTGTTGTTGTAACATTAATGGAGACTGTAATTTATATTTTCTTTGTGTTTTGGAGCAGTGTTTTTGATTTAGTTTCGTCATTTTGATGTGTGTGAAGTAATGTTACAGTTTATAAACTTGAGCTTGATGTAATTTGTGAAAATTTATTAGTGGTTTAAGTGTAATTAGAGCTTTAAATCTGGTTAACGTGAGAAAATCTTAGAGTAGAGTAAAATATGGAACTTAGGTTACTTGGGAAATATTTTTTGAGAGTTCTAATTTAGTTAATTGTTATAGGTTACATGTTTTGGAAATGAGGAGTAGTATGCTAAGTTTGAACTTGTGTAGGATTTTAATTTATTGTCAAACTCCAACCCCCTGCTGCCGCCGCTGAACTTTTAGTGGCTTTGGCGTTTGATTCATGAAGAGTATGTGCAAATGCACTAGTCAATTTTGGGCGTGCCCTTTCTTTCTCAAATTTTATTTTAAAAGTTTTTAATATGAAAGAATGAGGGAAGCATAATAGGTGGGGGAGTTTTCTCCTTTATGGTAGATGTCTTTGTTAGCTTGCACAATTGGGCTTGGACATCTCCTTCATTGGGTGTGTTTAATATTTACTGTGAATTTTTTTTTTTTTTTTTTTTTGGTCCTTTTAACTAGATTTATATTTTGTTTAAAGTTCTCCATTTGATTATCTATTAGTCTTCTTTATTGTTTTATTTTATTTGAAGTTTTCAGACTGAGAAACTTTCAGGTTGAAGCTAACCATTGCATTTGTGCCCGTTTGTATCATGACTATGTTTTATAAGACAATATGTTCCTTGGCTTTGATTATGCTTGCCATGTTTCATCCATATGATCGGCTGCAATTGGTCATTTTTCTTAGTTGAGTTGTGTTTCTTTCAGCATCCCTCCAAATTCCCCTTTTTCTTTGCATTTAATATCACTAGCAGTTTTAATTGTGTCCCTAACCCTAAGTATTATATTGTGTGATATGATGTCCCAGGTAGTGATTTTTTGCACCACATGTATGTGTTCTTCACTTTTTGAGTGAGTTTAACTGAAGAGACATGCAAACCGAGAATAATACCAATCCCCCGACCACGCCTAGACTTCGGCATCGCAGGCGCCCTACTGAGGTATGTTATTGAATTTGTTTTAATTATTATTTGATCCTTTCCAGCATAGTATTAAAGTTCTTAAAAAATTGAATTGTGTGTCAATGCATATTCATTTTCTTAAATGTCACCAACTTTGTGAAACTCACCTAGTGCTGTTATTTAGGGTAATTCAAGTTTCAGATCTGTGGCTTCTTCTTGCGAGTTAGTTTTGTCCCTACTTTGTTCTATATTCTGTCCTCTTGAAGCTGTTTCCTTAACAAACAGTATTAGCTTCAATATCAGTTCTTTATTAGCCTTTCGGAAAACTGTATTTGATCTACATAGTATATTAGGATCTTGAAGAGTAATAGGGTTATTTTATTTAATTGATACAAACTTATTTGGTTTTTCAGGTCACATCAGATGCTGGCAGAGCAAATGGAGACCATTTACTTGTGCATGACCGTAGCAAATACAAGTCTATGCTGGTTCGTGCTTACTCAACCGTTTGGATGATTGGGGGCTTTGCATTGATTGTCTACATGGGTCATCTCTATATTACAGCCATGGTGGTTGTAATCCAGATCTTTATGGCACGAGAGCTGTTCAATTTATTGAGGAAAGCTCATGAGGAGCGGGATCTCCCAGGATTCAGGCTATTAAATTGGTAAAATACTGGCATAATTCCCAACTGATTTAAATGTTCTGTGGATAAGAACTCTTTATTGTCTAACTACTTGGTATTTGAAATTAAATCTTATTATTACAAGTGAATATGGATGCTACATTTTTGGACTCATGTTGAATTTCTGTGCTCAGGTACTTTTTCTTCACTGCGATGCTATTCGTATATGGCCGCATTCTCAGTCAACGGCTTGTCAATACTGTGAATTCAGACAAGTTTTTGTATCAATTTGTGAGCAGCCTCATAAAGTATCATATGGTTGTCTGTTACTTTTTGTACATCACAGGTTGGTTGTTATTACTGCTATCCTTTTGCATAGTGCTTCAAGTACTATAGTTGTTATGTTGCTATTTTTTTCCCTCATTGATTGATAATTGCTGTTATATATATCATGCATGGTTTTTGTGTCCACCATCTACTATTCTGTTGTATAAGACTTAGGCTTTCAGTATGGCTGTTTGGTACTTTTTCAGACATTTACTTATAATGGATGGTTGCTGATATAAATTCCATTTGTAATTTGACTTAGGCTTTGTGTGGTTCATTCTCTCATTAAAGAAGAAGCTGTACAAGTATCAATTTGGCCAGTATGCATGGACTCACATGATTCTAATTGTGGTCTTTACACAATCTTCCTTCACTGTGGCCAACATTTTTGAAGGAATATTCTGGTAACCACATTTCTTGAGTGAACTGTTTCAGCCTTCCTCGTATTCCTATGTTCTGACTCATTTTTACTGGAATGTTTCTTTTCTTCTGGAATACTTAAATTTGAATAATATGGGATTGTCTAACCTGACATTTGATATATTATGAAAATTACCTCTATATACGTATATTTTTACTTGCAGATTTGTTTAGCCTAATTTTATCTTGATTGCATCAAGTTTCATTAGATTTTTCAAATAGATTCTTATGATTTGAGTTTCATAGATTTGGAATACGATGTTGTTTCTTCTCCTTGACAAATGGACGATTGTTGATGCAGGTTTCTTCTTCCAGCTACACTTATAGTTATCAATGATATCGCAGCTTATATATGTGGTTTCTTTTTTGGAAGAACCCCACTGATCAAATTGTCTCCAAAGAAAACATGGGAGGGGTTCATTGGAGCATCTGTTGTCACTATCATATCTGCATTTGTGGTGAGCATGGTTTTTCCTCACCTGTGATGGCAATAATCATCTTCAGTTCCTAACATCTATTTGAAATTAGTATATTTTGTATGCCTTTTGCTTTGAGATATCCTAGTGTTATTTGGCTGTGACAGTTGTGGTTGCAGCAGCATGTCAGCCTGTTAATCATCTTCTGTGCCTCTATTTGCATCTGAAGCCTTCTCCATTTCCACGTTAATGTCACTATAAAGTCAGGTCATTACTTGCATGTGCCAAATTAGCATATTCTTACTTGTAAAAACCACTTCATTATACCAATTAACTTAAATTGTTGCATCTGACACCTCAGGCTTAAGTAATATTGTGATGATCTTCCTTTTACTCATAATATTGATACAATACTAATTTACACTGAGAATGCCCTTTTTTTCCTGCCATGGTGCCTATCTATTTGTGTTTTGGGTATAAAAACATTTGGATTTCAAGCTTAGGGATAAGATTTGGTATTGTATACTTGTTTGACTTATTAGGTTATATCTATAATGCTCTGTGCACTTCTTTTTGCAGCTTGCAAATATCCTTGGTCGTTTCCAGTGGCTAACATGTCCACGAAAGGTAATTCACTTGATTAGATTTATGGTATTGTCATTTGACGAGGCATGGCTACTCATTTCGCAGGAATTTATAGTTATCTATTGCTGAGGATTTTGGACTGCAGGATTTATCAACTGGTTGGCTGCACTGTGATCCGGGCCCATTGTTTAAGCCAGAGGAATTCAATTTATCTGGATGGGTTCCTCAATGGGTTAGTAGGCTTCATTAGATCTCAATTTATGTGCACCAGAGTTCTGTTAAGTGAGGACAGATTTATTTTGTTTTTTCTTTTTCCTGGTTTGGGGGTGTTACTACATCAATGTTCCTGCTGCATGTTAAGTAGATGTATCGTGTTTGATATAAGAGACTGACTGTATTTCCTCTGTGTGATCATGAACAAGTCTTTTTAAGTTAATTGTGTGTTAGTATAAACCTCCAAGCAAGTACCTTAATATGCATTCTGTAACCAAATTTACTCTCTAAAGTATTTGGTAATATCCTTTTCATCCTGATTTCAAAATATGTCTCTGTGTCACTTTTTGAGTTATGTATTGCTTTGTCAACATAATAATGTTAACATTCTAAGAATTGTTCTTAGTTTAATTGCGCCATTACAATATTGTAGGTTTTTGCCTGCAATTTTTTACTAAATTTATTTTCCTAAAATTATATGTTATTGACATTGATGTTTGGTATGCCTGTAAGTCAATGGCTCATTTTACTCCTGGTTTCAATAGCTAGTTTCAGTAGCTAATCTACATTATGTATGAAGATAATGTAATGTTCTTGGTAATTGCAATAGATATTCTTAGCGATTTGAAGAACAATTTCCTCTTTATATTTAATGTAGGCTGAAGTGTCCTATAGTCAGCTTTAGTAGGAAGTTAAACAACTTATATAACATATATGTGAAAGCTGTAGAGTTTCCCATCTGACTGTCTTATTTTAATATGTTCAATGTAAAAATATTATACTGGTATTGTTGTTTTATTTGTATCATAATGCGATCTTTTCTTGTTACGAACTCCAAAACAGTTAAATCACAATCCTGTATGGTAGTGCTATTGAGTGTTACAAATTTGATGCTTGATCAAAGTTGTGGGTTCTAGGTTTTGAATCTTGACTACATAATTAATAATCTAAATACTAATGCCTCATTCTTGTCATTCTTTTATGCAGTTTCCCTGGAAGGAAATCTCTGTTCTGCCAGTTCAATGGCATGCCGTATGCTTTGGTTTATTTGCATCAATAATAGCACCTTTTGGGGGCTTCTTTGCAAGTGGTTTTAAACGAGCTTTTAAAATCAAGGTTCATTCTTGATGATTTTTTAGTCTCCGGTGATTGAGATTATGGATATCGTGCTTTACAAAAATGAAACATGATATTCAATGTTTTCTTTCTCTCAGGATTTTGGTGATAGCATTCCTGGACATGGTGGAATGACAGATAGAATGGACTGCCAGGTGAGCTGTGATAGATTTGAGGTGCTTTAAAGGGTTGTTCATTTGGTAGTTTTGAGAGGTTTCATCCTGCTAGTTTGGTCAACTGAGGGACGTGAATGAAACTTACACGTACAGATTTAGCTGTTAGTTTTGACTTCTTCTAATCTGAGAGCATGATTGTCATGGTTGCATCCTTGTTTTAAGTTTAGTGGCAATAAACATGGAGTTTATGTGCTAAATGAGCATACCCCTAAAAATATCTCTTGTACAATCAAGTACACGTTCTGTGGATATGACCAGAATTAATTGTTCTTTGCTGTCTGTTAAATGAGTGCTCCTGTTGCCAATGAAAAAGGATCACTATCATGTGCACCCAGCCACCCACACAGTTCAAGAGAAACACTGTCATGTGCCCTCATGTGGTCTTCAGATGCTAAATTATACTCATTAGAGTAGTTTCATTGGTCGATAATATTGCATTCTTTCCTGTTTTATTTTCGAAAATAGGACTGCTCCCTCTGGTGCTGTTAAGTGGATGGGCTGTTCCCATTATCTGCCATCTTTACGCAGTGAAAGTCTCTAGGTTGTTACTTATAGTGAGCATCCCAAAATACTTCGCAAAAATAATTTTCTCTCAACCAAATTTAATTTTTATTTTTGCATTCCCTTGGCCTTTGTTACCATTTGTCAGACTCCTGTACCTTTGCCTAAGTAATGCATGTGTCTGTTCTTGAGGCCTTTTTTTAATCATTTACATATAGTAGGCATTCAAAATTACTTATTTATGAACATATGAAACATATAGGCTTCTAGCATATACTGTTCTTTTTAACGCGGTATTTGAATGTAGATGGTGATGGCCGTATTCTCATACATCTATCATCAGTCGTTTGTTGTGGCTCAAACCCTCTCAGTTGAAATAATCTTGGAGCAGGTAATTTCCAGACCGTGCTTGTATAATGTATTTCTGTTTAGTTCATAAATGAATTAACATATTGATGGTTTTTCCTTGGCAGATATTGACGAATCTCACTTTCGACGAGCAGCAAGATCTGTACACGAAGCTAGGCGAAGTCTTGCACAAGCGGCTGTATGGACCATAAATCTGATGAAAATGGAAAACTTTGTATATGTTGTTGTTTTCCAGTTATTTTCATTCAAAATATTTGGGTGGAAGCATTTTTAGTTCGCATACTCTGTATAGTGTATGTTAGCCAATTAAATATACATACAAAACTCCCAACAAAGTGTTGTATTGCTTCTCACTTACCGTCTCTCTCTTAAGTTCCCCTAATTAAATTTCACAGTACTAGGGGTCATATTATTAATTATTGCTCCAATTAACAACATTAAGGCATGATTTTTACATCTGTTGTTGTGATGTTCTATATCTTATTAGGTTTTTTAGCTTGGGTAATATTATGTTAACAAATTTTTTTCACTAATTTTCTTTTATAAACTCAATGTGTTAGCTCGTAATGAGTTTTGTTTATCTAACAATGGGTTTTATTTAACCAATTGCGAGTTGTTACGTCGTGTTTATTAGGGATGGGTCCGGACTGGGAACTCTTGTCTCTGTCCCTAGCCCAAAAGCCTAAGAGGATTCTTCAATCTCGGCCTGTAGCCCCTTTCGGGAGGAATCTCCAAATAAAGCTCGTTCCCCAAATGGGGAATTCAGACGTTTGGGGGTTTTATGTCTTTTTGTGTACTTATTATCATTTTCTTCAAATTATAATATACCATCCAAAAAGAAATTAAATTTACAATGATTTATTATAATAATAAATCAAAACATCAAATGATATATTACACATATTACACATATATATTATATATTAACATATGATTATAGATAATAGCATATTATGTATAATGTATAACATATATATATTATATACATTATACTTATATACATTGTTTTAAAAACCGGACCGGAGGGCAAACCGTTTTGATGGTCGGGTCACGGTTCAACCGGTTAGACTGCTGATTGAACCGGTGATATCATCCCACGTCATGATGACATCAGCACATTTTTTAAAAAACAATTTTTTTTTTAGTTTTCTATAATGTACAAAGGTTTTACCATAAAATAAATAGCACACCCTTAAAAAGAAATGTAAAAGCACTTTACATTAACATCATCATTGATTTTAGCTTCTACTAACATCAGTAGTATTATTAGTATATACATTAACATCATCTAAGCAATTCAACTGATCTAAATCCCTATATTACCATCCAGAGCAATTCGAAAATCCATCAAAATTACATAGCATAAGTTACTCTCGGATGATATACTAGAAACACAAAAGATGAGCAAACTGAAGAGTTCATAACCCAAAAACATTAAAAAGAAAACAAAAACAGAGGTAGCTTTTAGTATCAGAATGGCTTCAAATTAAGTCCCAGATAAATCAAGAAGCCTCACTGCATGAAGTATATTAACCACTCTTATTGGCCAAGAAAACANGATAAAAAACTGAGAGAGAGAGAGAGAGAGAGAGAAAAGTGCGGTAGCATAGGTTCTCTTAGAAGTAATTTTTTGTTTTTTGTTTTTGCTTTGTAATTGTTTTTGGAAGGATTGAATAATTGGTTGAATTGGATGTGAAAGCTTGGGAGATTTTAGACCATCTAGTTAGAGAAAATTATTGTTGTGAGATTTTTTCTGGCTTCTATGTATATGCCAACAGCGAAGGGCTGCAATTATTGTTAATTTGAGAATTCTGTAAAGAGATATGTAAATAGCATTTAGTTCTTTATGATATCTGTGGAGATGGAATGGCATCCTCAAAGAAGGCTTCTCATATACTCATGAAAAGATAATTTTAGCGGTAGCAAGCAAAAACTTTCCCATTGCCATGAAAATGATAGAAGATGAATGGAATTTAAGAATCATTCTCTTTTAGTGTGTTGACTATAGACTGGACTTGGGTCCTGGGTAGCAGTAGTTGAAGATATTTTTTTAATATAATTTTGTGTTTTTGCTAATGGTGGTCCAGTCCAATCAAAGGCTTAACCTTTTGTAGCCAAAAGAAAAGACAGCTTTTTGATTGATTTATGGTGGTTTTAATTATATGTGCCAATTAATTATCACTCGACATGTGGTGATTCTACTGGCTACAAGAGAGTTCAGTAAACAAGAAAAATTGAAGACCCGAATCTGAAATTTTGCATTAAAAATTTCAGAAAAAAAGAAACAATTTTGAAGACTAAATCAAGAAAAATTGATTTAGGCATCAAATGAAGCATTATAGATGCAGGCTTAGAGGGAACCAACCAATGCATTTCTAGTCACAGCAAAATCTCCCACTGGGTTTGTCGCCTTGCAAGTGAGGCCATATTTTCTCTATGCAGATGATTCTGTGAGTGAAGGATGGTTTAAATTCCCACTGCATGTTGAAAAGTGAACACATTTGGGGAGAAAGAAGAAAGAATTGACATTATTGCAGGCAGCTTATATGTAAGGCATATAACAGGATAATACTAATATTATAAAGAGGTATAAAAGATCCAGAGTTAAATCCAGTCATTTCAAGAACTGGATTTGACTTTTGTATGCTTCTTTTGTAAATTACTCTATAACATATACTATTTTTCAAATTTTCAGTTTCAGTTTCAGTTTCCCCACTGTTTATGGCAAGTTTTCGTGGCTCCAAGTCTTACATTTTGTTGGATCGAAGGCTTCTCATAATCATGAAAAGATGATTTTATCAGCCAAAAACTTGTCGGGCATTCAATGACAATGGTAGAGGCATGGAATTTCAGGATCATTCCCTCGATATAAAGAATTTCGTGATTCTTCTTAAACTCTTTCAGTCTTGCTCAAAGGGTTTTAACATTTCCAGGGCCAGGCCTCAGTAAAAATGATTTGTCGCCATGAGTTCAATAGCTCCAAGCTTTGAGACACTCTTTAGTTCCATCCAATGTTTAAGATTAGTTTGAGTTCTTGGTCATTCATATTCTGGAATCAAAAAACAAAAAAGACCCAAATCCGAATTTAAACATTATAAAGATACAATACCAATAATGTAGGCACCGATTGACGCCAACTGCTGAAAGACCAGAAAAGTTCGCCTGGAAGGTGACCCAGTTCGTAAACTGAAGTTTATATACGAGAAGGGTCTGATAAAAGGGCTAAAATTCTATGCCATTTCCTTCGATATTCCCCTTCTCATTAAAGTTTAAACACACAACACAAACTCAACAGACATACATCTGAAAAAACGAAGAATATAAAAATTAAAGGTAAATGTTAGAGGTTCGGTAAGCAGATTAGTCGACTGAGATTCACGACAACCGGCCAGTTAACCTCTCAGGCGTTTGATATAGCTACAGCCGCTTTGGCAATTCAAGATCAAGGGTATCTATTATCACACCCTTGTCTTGGTACATGTAGCTTCACACAGAGACGAGTTAAAGATCATCTTAATATAACGCAAAACAGACTCAAAGCCATCACTAAACACAGAGGACACAGCTAAAAATGGAAGGGAGGCAGCTAAACAGAGGCTACATGAAGAGAACCGGAAAACCCTGGCGGCTATAAATATAAAAGACCTAGGGGAGTTTGAGGGAGGAGGGAAGATCTCAGCCGCACATCTTGGAAAAGGAGAATTTGATTTGGTGTGACGCAAGTTTGTCTGGCATTGTACATCCGCATCATAGCCGCACATCTTAGCCTTAGTGTTTAAAGGATTTTGGTAAACGACTTTTAAAATGATTAGGTTTAAAGCTATGAAATAATCTGATTTATAAAAGAATTTTAAAAGCTATTATAAACTAGTTTTGTAATGAAAAGACAAATTTACCCTTACATAATTCCTTTAATTACAAAACATTTAACATAACATTACACAATATAATACAATACTATACAATTTACTTAATATTATGTTATATCGTGTGCCACAAAATGGCTAGGACACATAACTTTTCACTCCTGGAAACTTGCCTGACATCAACAAAGGTAGGAGATCAATAAAGCTTTTCATGTCTAATGCATTTTTGGTCTACGTTGGAACTCACACATATCACTCATTACAGTGCTGACATGGCCTAATCCCACCTGTGTGCATGCAACAAGCACTGTCCTCCAGGACAGCCAATAGCAAGTTTCTCAAGGTCACATTTTTTTCACACACTATTTAGTTCTTTTCTGTTTATATGCCACAATTAAAAAAATTTTACACAAGATGACTAACACTATTTGAGATAAACCCAGCCATAAATCATCATTCAACTGGAACGAAAACTTAGTGATACTTACACATGTTGCAGTGTGGCATGGTATACATGCTTCCAATTGCAAGTATCATGTTAGATATATGAAGAACCGTGAATCTCTTCTCAAACCGTTGTCTCAAGCTTTATAAGACCGATAAGAGCCAAAAGAACAGTTGGGATATTGGATAGGGTGTTGTAAACTCTGCAATATAAGAGGTAGGCATATTCTTCTCACAGCACTCAATAGTAGACGTAACCGGACCCCAGAAACTTGACACCCCCATCAGCCTATCCGATATGTATGCACAATATGTAATATATTCAGCTGAACTCTCAAACTAGGATGTCGCAAAGATCATAAAACATGCAAACCATATGCCTGCTTACACGCAAAAATGTCAGTAAAAAAATCTTTACTATTAATAAATTATAATTCCCAACAATCAAAGCAAAATTACAACCAACACTTTTTATACAAAATTCTCAACAAGTCACAACAACAATCACATTACAAGATATACAGATTTTAAATGGTTTAAGAAAACACTAAACAAACAATAGTTTTGTAACTTCGCTTAAACATCTAATGAGAAAGAATTGGCAGAAATTTCGGAAATTCACACAAATTACATCAAATAAGCAATCATAAAATCATGACAAAAAATTTTCTGTTTACACTCAACAGAGTTACAAGTATAATAGAGAAAGCATTATAAATTTTCCATTAAAACATCACAACAAGCCAACACTACCAAGTTCAAAGATACAAAAATGTTTCTGGCTAACACCAATGCCAAAGCAACCACAGCAAGAATCAACAAAAACGTCAAAACACTTCAATCAACGTTGAAGCACCTCAACAGCACAAAACAATAGTACCCAAACTAGATTTAACACAAATCTCTCATAAAAACCACTCTAAACAAATAAGAAAGATACAAAAGTACCCATCTAGAGTTCAAAATCCGTCAAACATAACAAAAAGGATCGATCATAACTAACCCTTGCTCATGATTTAAAAACCCACAATTCATTTACTATATACACAAACATCACACAGTTAACACATAAGCAAAACAATAACAAATCAAATCAGAAAGCAAAAAACCAACACAACAAACTAAGTAGTACAAGACAAGAACAAA